AGGGGATCAATGGGGGGAAAAAAGGGACATCTGTAATACTTTCAACACTAAAGATAATTTTTTTTTTTAAGTGGGAAGGATGCAAACCTACAAATATACTTTAAAACCAAAAATCGTGATGCTGTCTCTTCAATTTACTGTTGAAAGAATATTCAGCTTATTCCCAAAGAAAGCAAAAGCTAATAGAATATTACTTGAAGCAGACACAGCACATTGTCCTGTAAAAGCCTGGCACGGTCACTTCAAATCTTGCCAAGGACCTTTCCATTCATTCTGTACTCCCTGCCTGCTCTCAGGCCTTATTCTGGGGCTGGTGAAAAAGAGAAAATAATTTATTTTCATGTTCTTATTTTGTTATGCCCAGATGCTGACTGTGATGACCCACCGAGGTATGAATCTATGAAACCCAAGGGTGGACAGCCTTCACCCCCTTATAATCATGGGTACCAAATAGAATATGAGTGTCGCCTAGGATACAGGCGTATTCCTCCTTTTCATCCCCTCTCTGCTGTTTGTCATCCTAATAACACATGGACAACTCTCCGGGAGGCTTGTACAAGTAAGTACACTAAACTTTTTGTTTTTATTGCCCTAAAGATTTCACACATTTTATTCCATTTTATTGTAAAATGATGGTTTTCTCATGTGGATGTGGATTTTAGACAGCAGTGTATTTTTTCAGGCTTTGAAAAATTTCCAGAGAATCTTTTTCTTGGCAGTTGGTTGTTTTGGTAAATGTGAATCTTAAGTTTGGCCTTTTAATAGTTAAAGAAAGAAAATAGTACTCCCATGAATTTAGTAGAGAAATGTAGGATTTTGGTTTTGATTCAGATCTGTTTTGAAATTTGTATAAAACAACGAATTTCAAAAATTTTTCTTTCAGGAAGATTATGTCCACAACTAGGAGAGCCCCAAAATGGTCGCTTCAGTGGATCTTTTGAATTTGGTTCAGAGCTTCACTATACTTGTGACCAGGGGTAAGTAGAGGAACTAGGTAAATGTTACTAGTTCTATTTTTGCTTTACTTCTAAGTATGGAAACATAATGTTGATTTCATTTTGCTCTGTGTGTGACAAGCTGTACTTGTAGCCAGTGAACTCTTGGGCTTTTTATGGAGACTGAAAAGATGTGCATGGAATAGAAAAAATTTCGATTGAAGTAAAGCAGAATTGTACACTACTATAAGTAATAAGCCTACTGTAGTCATTAAAAATGTAGTAATCATGGCTTTATCCTTGACAACAAATTGCACCCTGTTTAAAATGGGCAACTTTGAGGGCTTTTAGAAATGGGGGGGTAAATTTGCCAGCCAAAAATAAACTTATGTTGAGATAACTGTGAGATGTTAACCAGTCAAAAATTGACCTGGTTAGCCTGGACCTTAACTTTGATCAAGATCTCTTAGTGAATACACCTGAGGGCAATTCAGTGCATGAGAATGGTAGAGAAGCAATGTAGAAAAAAAAGATCTCTTAGTGGAAAGCCTTATTTTTGTGACTGTTTTAAAGGAGGGAAGATCTCTACCAGGTGTACTGAGCACTTAATAGTAGCCTTTGTTCCATAGGGCTCTTTTAATAGTATGTATTCGGGATACTGGAAATTTATGAAAAATGTGCAATATAGAGGAAACTGATACACTATAAAATGCAACTGATTTTTTAATATTAATTTTGTGTCCTGCTAATTTACTGAATTCATTTATTAGTTCTAACAGGGTTTGTGTGTGTGTGTGTAATCTTCAGAATTTTATACATGTGAGGTCATACTGTCTGCAAACATTGATAATTTTACTTCTCCCCTAACCAGCACTTCTTGCAGTACAAAGTAAATCTGTTATTTTTAAACCAATGTGTGTTCAGCTTTTTGATATCCAACTCATGCATCTACACAGTAATTCACAATGTATAAATTATAATGCCAAGAATATGTGTGGTGAAGGGTGGGGAACTCTACAACTAAAATTAGTTTTGAGTCAGTGCTACCTTTTAAAAATTAAATTAGAAACCAATTTAACAGGGTGAGCGAGCACATGTGGCTGTTTTGTTTACTTGTCCTGACTGGGCAGAATGGCATGAACTAGGGCACAAAAGTGAATGTTGATGTGCCTGCTGCAGGTAGCAAAGAGGCCAGACTGACCAGCATATATATAGACAATTTGCTCTAGGTCAGTGTGTGCTCAAATGCAGAAACTCTATTTCCTTATAGATTTAGTTAGTACTTTCATTATAGGCTATTTAAGAAACTTCTCCCTCAAACTACTGTAGTGCACAAAAACAACCATATAAAATTTTTCTTCATTATTATGTGCATTGTGTTAACTGGTAAAAAAAAAAAAGGTAATCTTTTTTTTTCTTTTTATTTAGTTATTACCTACTTGGGCCAGACACTATATCTTGTGTCATTGCTGGAGATGGAAATAGTGTGGAGTGGAGTGCTGACCCCCCGAACTGTGAAAGTAAGTATATTCTGTCTTTAGAATTTAGAGTAGTAGTTCTCAAACTTTTGGCCTTGGCTTGACTTTATGCTTTTAAATTTAATAAGACCCCACAGAGCTTTTCTTCAAGTGGGATATGGCTATTGCTACTCATTATATTGGAATTAAAACTGAAAAGTTTAAAAAATAATTATTCATTATTAAGAACAGTAAGCACAATACATATTAATATATACAACATACTTTTTATGAAAAACCAAAATTTTCCAAATAGTGTCATTGTTTTACATGTTCGCAAATCTCATCAATATGTGTCCTAAATGACGACCTCAGGATTCTGGCTGCGTAAACATACCATTTGTACATTTGGCAAACTTCACTGTTACACTCTTAAGGATTAAAAAGATAATACATTTTTTCATAGAAACTTTGTTTCAAATGGATATCGGATTTGCAACTAGATTGTAGATATCATATGTGAATGAATTTATTGAAGGCAGTTCATAGGATGTTCCTAATGCTGTTTTAATCTTTTACTTTTTCTCTTGCCTTCCCTGTCCTTTTTTTTTCCTTTTAAGAGATTTTGTGTAAACCACCTAAAAAAATACAAAATGGACAATACAGCTATAGCCACAAGGAAGTGTTTGAATATAATGAGGTAGTAGTTTATAGCTGTATTCGTTCAGGTGGACCAGATGAATTCTCACTTATTGGAAACAGTGAGCTGTTTTGTACTGGGCATGACAAATGGAGCAGTGACCCTCCTGAGTGTAAAGGTAATAATATTTTTCTCTACTTCTTCATTTGTAAATACTATGGAAATACTTTGTAAATACTTTACTAACAAGTAAACAAAATAGCCACATGTGCTTGTTCACCCTGTTAAATTGGTTTCTAATTTAATTTTTAAAAGGTAGCATTGACTCAAAACTAATTTTAGTTGTAGAGTTCCCCACCCTTCACCACACATATTCTTGGCATTATAATTTATACATTGTAAATTACTGTGTAGATGCATGAATTGGGATATCAAAAAGCTGAACACACGTTGGTTTAAAAATAACAGGTTTATTTTGTATTGTAAGACGTTCTGGCTAGAAAAAATGGTAGAGTAATTATAAAAGACTGACCTCACCAATAAGATTGATAAACTCTGGGTAAAACGTACAGGCATACCCTGTTTAATTGCACTTTGCTTTATTGCATTTCACAGGTGTTGAGTTTTTAAAAATTGAAGGCAAGACCCTCACCAGCAAAAAGATTATGCCTTGCTTTATTGTGATACTCATTTTATTGCTGTGGTTTGATATCAGACCTGCTATATCTTTGACATATGCCTATTCTTTAAAAACAATGTTTAAGGCATTATAGTGTGACATAAAACAGGGAGGCTCTGGAGGGTATTTGACTCTCGAAAGAAAGAAACCACTGAATAACACCAAAATAATTATTCTTGTCAAGTGCAAATGCAGCATTTTCTAATTACATATCCTAGGCATTAAGATAAGTTTTAACAAATTTCAAAATATTGAAATTATTTACTGTACCTTTTCTGATCACAGTGTAGAAATCAAAATAAAGATATCTATAAAATCCCCCAATACATGAAAGTTACGCAAGACATTTCAAGTTTGCAACCCATGATGCAAAGAAGACTTCACAAGCAAAATTAGATAGTGTTGTGAACTGAATAAAAATGGAAATGGAACATATCAAAATTTGTGGGATACAGCAAAAGCATTGCTTAGGAGGCTATCAATAGCATGAAATAAAAAAAGGGGAAACGTCTCAAATCCGTCATCTAAGCTTCTACCTTATGAACCTAAAAGAGAAGAGCAAACTTTACTCCAAACAAGGAAACAGAAGAACAGAATATAGAAATCAATGAAATTGAAAAGAGAAAAGTAGAGAGAATTAATGAAACTAGCACATAGTTCTTGGAGAAGATCATTAAAATGTTTTAACCATTCTGACAAGAGAAAAAGAAAATGCAGATGATCAATATTAAGAATGAAAAAGAAGCTATCACTAAATATATCCTACAGGTATTTAAGGGAACAACACAATCAACTTTATACCTATAATTTTGACAAAGGAAACCTCATAAAGAGAACTGTTCTCCCTGGGGAAGCTATAAAAATTTCAGGAGTAAATAGCAGCAGCTCTGCACAGGTTCCAGAAAAAGACACATCTCCCTTTGGTTCATGAGAATTGCATTGCTCTGATACTAAAACCAGACAGACACATTTCAGGGACATCAAAAACAATATAATGGACAGAGAACCAAACTTCTCAACAAAATATTAACAGATCAAGGCCTATCATAAATCGTCAAAGAGAATTTATTCCATGCATGCAAGGTTGATTTAAATTTAAAAATTAATCAGTGTAACTTACCGTATCAGGAGATATAAAGAAGAAAAAAAATACATGGTCATCCTAATGTGAAAAAAAGCATTTGACAGAATTCATCATTTCATTATAAAACTTCTCAGTGTAATAAGAATAGAGCTGTCTGTCCCTGATAAATGGCTCTTACCAAAATCGCATAGCTAACATTTTACTTATTGGTAAATGACTGATTTATTTCCCCCTAAGGCAGGAACAAGATAGGGTGTCTACTGTCTCTACTCTATTCAGTACTGCATTGGTGCCTGCCCAGTACAGTAAGGCAAGAAATAGAAATACACATATATGTTGGGGAGAAAGAAATAAAGTAGATTATGTTCACTGTGACATGATTGTCTATGCAGAAAATTCGAAAGCCTGAAGTTTTAGCCAGGTTGCAAGCTTAAGATCAATGTACAGAAATCAATTGTATGTCTATATACTAGCAATAAATCATTAGAAATTGAAATTTTTTATATAATATTTACAACAGTTCCAAACTGCATATAATATTTGAAAGTAACTTTTATAACACAGGTGCAAGATTTGAATGGTAAAAACAACTAAACACTTATAAAAGAAATTAATAGGCCTTAATAGAAATACAGTGGTATGGGTGGGAAGGCTGAATTATAGTAAAGATGTCAGTTTTCCATAATCTATAATTTTGGCACAATCTCATTAAAAATCCCAGTAGAACTTTTTCTATAAACTGACAAAATGATTCTAAAATTTATATGAAAAGACAACAGAAGTATAATCGTTAAAATTTTGAAAAAGTCAGAGGACTCATTCTACCTGGTATCAAGACTTATTATATAAAAAACATAAATAAAGCATATAATTAAGACAGTGTGGAACAGAAGAGAGACTCCAGAATAGACTCTTTCAACTGTGTGCAGTTGATTTATCACAGGTGTACAAATGATTCAGTGGAAAAATGGTAAAAGTACAGACACAATTTGATATCCATATGCAAAAAAAAGACCTCAACCCATTTTTGCACCATATATATTTACTCAAAGCATCGTAGACTTAACTATTAAAAAACTTTTAAAAAACTTAAAAAAATAAGACTTTTACTGGAACACATAGAAAGCATTTGTGACCTAGACAAAGATTTCTTAAATACAACCCTAAAAGCACGATCCTTTAAAGAAAAAAAATTCTTAAAAACTCAAAAATTTTGCTCTCATAAAACAGTTATAAGAATAAACAAATGAGTCATAGACTGGAAGAAAATATTTCCAAAGCACATATCTACGATATGTATAGATATGTAAAGATCTCTCAAATAAGAAAACATCTCATTTTTAAAAAACAGGCAAAATATTTGAATAGACCTCTTCCACCAAAAGAAGTTATATTGATGGCAGAAAAGGACATGAAAAAGTACTCAATAGCATTAGTAATCACTTAAATAAAATTTAAAACCACAATGATATACAGATAAACACATAAAAATAAAAAAGGTAACAATACCATTACTCACAAAGATACGGAGTAATTAGAACTCTCAAACATTGCAAGTTAAGAATGCACAGTGGTATGTCTATTTAGGAAAACATTTGGTGACTTCTTTTAAAGTTAAACATTGACTTTTCATACAACTCAGCAATCCAAGTAAATGAAAACATGTTCACATAGAACCCTACATGAGAGTATACATAGCAGCCTTAGTCATAATCCTCCCAGAGTGGAAACAGCCACCTATTTTTCAGTTGGTATTCGAATGGCTGAACAACCGTGGTACATCCATATAATGGGATAATATTCCACAGTAAAGGACTGAGCATCTGATCTTGCAAGGACAGGAATGATTCATATGCATTATGCTAAGTGAAACAGGCTGTACTCAGAGGCTGTGATCCCATTATGACATTCTGGAAGAGAAACGGATAGAAAACAGATCAGTGGTTGGCTGGTTGGGGGATGGGGATGGGTGGGGATGGGGAGGGTTGATTACGAAGTGGCATGAGGGAATGTTGGAGGTAATGGAACTTTTCTATGAATTTATTGCCGTGGTAATTACATAGTTAGTATTTGCATTGATCAAACCTCATTCAACTCTACACTTAAAAGGTTGAGTTTTACTGTATATAAGTTATGTCCAATAAACCTAACCTACAAAAATCATTACTGTGATTAACAGCAGTTTAGCACAACATAGAATAGATCAGTGAATCCAGAGTGAGGAAAATAGAAACCAAGCAAATGATTTGAAAGAAATATTTTTAGAAAGAGAAAGATTGACAACCTGGGGAATAGCAAATGGTCAAATATACATGTTGATGGAGTTTCAGAAAGAGAGGAAAGGTGACAGTATAGGCAGTTGTTTGAATAAATATTGGCTGAAAATTATCCACACTTGATCCAAACAACAACCCCACAAGTCCAGGAAATTCAGTGACCCTAGTAGGATAAATAGAGTTTAAAAAATTACCAAGAAACCCCTACTAAAGCAAACATACCATGGTCAAACGTCTGCAAAAAACAAACAAAAAAAAACAGACAATGAGAGGGGGTGGAAACAAACATACTACATTTGCCCCACCCCTCTAAGTAAGAATGACAGCTGACTTTCTTAAGGAACTGTTGAGACAAGGAGACAATAACATCTACTAAAGTGCTGAAAGAAAAATAAAACAGGAAACCTAGAAATCTCTGTTAAGGAGAAATATTGTATTTACAATTTTTTTTACAGATGACATTTAATATTATATTAGTTTCAGGAGTACCACATCGTGGTTAGACATTTATATAATTTACAAAGTGATCACCCCTGATAAGTTTTGCTCCCTCTCTTACCGGACACTGTACGTGGTTATTACAATATTACTGACTATATCCCCTCTGCTGTACTTTACATCCCTGTGGCGATTTTGTAACTGCCAATTTGTACTTCTCAATCCCTTCACCTTTTCAGGAGAAATCTTTTAAAAGTGAAGGTATAATAAATAAAAACAAGATAAACTAAAGTAAGAGAATTGACACTACCCTACTTGTACTACAAGAATTGCTAAAGGAAATTCTCTAGGCTGAAGGGAAAAGATACCAGATGGAAATTCAGATCCACATGCAAGGAGGAAGAGCACTTTTCTGGTTTAATTTGATAAGATATCCTCTTGTACTTACTGCTAGCCAGTGTTTTTTGTTTTTTGTTTTTCCAAATTCTGCCAAACCCATTACTGGATCCTGAAATCAATCTAGAAGGTCATGACCAACATTTTACTTCTTGAGAAGTAGAGTAGAATGCGAAATACCAGAGTACACTAGAATGAAGTCTAAGTGTTAACTTTTAACTTTATCTCAGGCCTGTGGGATTGTATACTGGTTTACAATGGAAAATGTGGTTTTTGATTCCTGGGTTGGAGTCCAAAATGTATGGAAAACACAGCCCTGACTCCATTTGCCTTTCTATTTCTTGAACATCCCAGTTCTTGTATGTTGTTAGGACCTGAGAACTTTCTGCATCTTTGCATAGCTAGCTTCTTTCCAACTTTTAAATTTGAGCTGAAGTATTTTCTTATCACAAGAGTCTCTCCTGCCTTTCTACAAAAGTAGGGTACTGTAATCAGTGTCTGCATGAAATTTTAACAAACCCCTAGAGCTAGAGTATCAAAAGTGTGTTTGAACTCACTAGGAAACTGTATCTGGTAGTTAGACCTTTCTCAAAACTTGTCAGTAATGGGGGGAAAAATGTAGGAAAGCCAATGAACTATAATGACAGTCTGTTCCAGGTGGAAAAAGATTATTGGATTTCATGAAATCTATTTACCTGTAATTAAAATGAACAAATAAAGTCTTTTTTAAAAAGTTAACATCCTGCCTTCCATTCCTTGTCTCTTTGTTCCCAGGGAAAATTACTGTTTTGCACCAGTTTTTCTCTCCTAGGCTACAGCAGCTGTCCATTAATTCTGAAATTTCTTCACTTTTCAGTGGTCAGATGTCCAAATCCAGTACCCAAAGATGGATACATGGCGTCAGGATTTGACAAAAAATATTCCTACAAAGCACAGGTTGTACTTGCATGCAATAAGGGTTTTTCCCTTGAAGGCAGCAGCGTAGTTGTCTGTGAAGCTAATAGTACTTGGGAGCCTAAGACGCCAACCTGTGTTAAAGGTACAAAGGATGTCTTTTACTTTCTTTTTTTGTTTAGATGGTTTTTCTTTGATTTCAAATATAAATGATACAGAGTAATTGAAGTTTTCGTATTTATGTCTTAACACATGTAAAAGTCACAAAGAATTCTGCTTTTGCTATTTTGTATATTTTCATAGGGTTAGCTCCTTACATATATCACACAGGTGTATAAGCTTTTCTTCTTCTACTTTTTTATGTGCAAAACTAGATAGCAACCATTTTTAAGAAAATTGAAGCATGGATAGTTTCATCTAAATAAGTCAGGTTCCTCAGTGGTTAATCCAGTCGACATTCTTTTGTTTTCCAGTGTTGACTCCTTCTCCCAGTACCAAACTTCCGAGTTTGACTCATTCAGGTTTAGTACCATCCTGCTTATCCCTTTAGACATTTTTGGTGCAATGCCGGCAATAACTCCCAAGTATTTGATCTACTGTGTGTTATTTTCTTTTCCAGTGTCACCTCCCAGCACAGAACTTCCAATTTCCAGTGTCTCAGGTTTAGTAACTTCCTGCTTATATTTTTCAAAATATTTTAAATTTCTGGTGATTCTTTTTTTTGAAATAATTTCAGTTCTTCGATATTTTTTCAAAATCCTTTAAATATCTGGTGAGTTACACCCATTCACCATTTTTAGTAATGAAAGGAGGAAGAACATATTTACAGCCATTCTTAACTTGCCACAGTCCTCACATATAAACAGCTTCATTAACTTGGCAATTTATGTAAACTTTAATGTGTTTACTTATATGTAAAATTATTTAATACCTTCCTCACTGGCTGGTAGGAACCTTTAAGTGGGATGCATGAAAGCATTTAGCACAGTGTCTGGCACATAGGAGGTTCTTAAAGGAAGCTATATGACTTACAGCATCCCTCCAGTTAAGTTAGGGAGCAAGAAGGTCCATGGCTTCTGTTTCTTAATGTGTTTGTTTCCTGTCATCAACGTTGCTGTTGTATTCATTTAAAGAGTGATCTGGTGACACCTTTATGGGGTATCTTCCCTGTAAAGGTGTCACCAAGACTGATTCACGACTCAACTTTCATTTCCTGGACTGCAAACAGTTTTTTTCTTTTTATATAGTACAATGTGAACTGGTAAATTTCTGCTGTTTCTAGAACAAGACCCATAGTCCTAGTGCCCCCAGCCCCACCTCATACAATTATTCTTTTTGTCTTTACTGGGTTGTGTGTTTTTTTAATCCTCACCTGAGGGTATGTTTAATGATTTGAGAGAGAGAAAGAAAAAGAGAGAGAGAAACAAATGTCCATTGGTTGGATTGGTTGCCTCCTGACTGGGAATCAAACTCACAGTCTTCTGGTGTAGGAGACAATGTTCCAACCAACTGAGCCACCCAGCCAGGGTTTTACTGACATTTTCCTTTAAAGGCAGAAGTCATTACTTATAGAAATGCAGCGGAGGGCTTCTTGCATGGACTCCTCAACCGCTCTGCTGAAGACTTGAGAGATTATTGCCATGTGGTGGAGGGAACTGCCTTCCTCATTTCAGTGCTGCTGGCTCTGGCTTCTCTTTGGTTTCAGCAGAAGCAACAGGCAAGAGGAATAGTGGGAAGATCATGAGCGTGGGCTCACCTCACTTGGGCCCTAGTTTGGTTCTGCTCACTCATGGAGCATCCTGTCCTTGTGCTTTCATGTCCTATTGTTTAATGAGGATGTTGAAATCCAATCTCAGTCGCTGGCTTCTAACTTGCTTGTATATATTCTGTTGTTCTAAGACTTTAAAGGATTGAGGGGAGCTGTGCATGTAACATGGTAATTAGAACACCTTTTTATAATCCCTGTGTACCTGGTACCTGGTAGCCTCCTTGAGTACCTTAGTTGAGTGCTGTGAGGTTTGGGGTGGGGGTGAGAAGAGGATTTTTGGTGGACTGACACATAAGATTGCATGTGACGTTTATACTCATTGACCCATCTGTGTTTACTCACATGGTCCTAGTGGGTATTTGCACTGTGGGATACCTAGTGGGTGTATCCATATGCCCTTTTGAAAGAGTTGACCATGAGAGTTCATAAAGGGTTTATAAAACACTGTGATACAATTTAGCATTTGAAAGAAGAGGAGCAAATTGTAAGAAAAGTTTATAAATAAACTATAGGAGTTTTTTAAATATAAAAAGTCATAATTCTTCATGAGCCTTTAAAATATATTTTGTTACCAGTTAAAGAAAGAATCAGTAGTAACATGTAATGGTGATAAGGTAGATCTAATTCTGCTAATATGACAGATACCAGGAAACACTAAGGGAATAGAAAAGGAAAGAAATTATGTACTGCAGCACAATACTCCTGGAATGGTATTTTTTTAAGATACATATGTTTAGCCCTGGCCAGTGTGGCCTCAGTTGGTTGAGTGTCCTGAGCACCGAAAAGGTTGCTGGTCCTGTTCCTGGTCAGGGCACATGCCCAGGTTTCAGGCTCCATCTCCAGTAGGAGTGCTTGAGGGAGGCAACAGATTGATGTCTCTTTCACATCGATGTTTCTCTCTCTCCCTCTCCCTTCCTCTCTCTCCCTCTCCCTTCCTCTCTCTCCCTCTCCCTTCCTCTCTCTCTAAAAATCAATAAAAACATATTTAAAAAATAATAAAGATCCATGTTTATTCTGAACACATTTTTTAATCTCTATGATTAATTACCTTCTGTGATTTCCGTTGTAAAATACAAAGCTATAGTGAAGATTGTTCTGCAAACATTCTTATGTGTTTTTGTAAATATATATTTAGGTTAAATGCCCAGAAGTAGAATTGCAAAGTTCAGAAAGCATGTGTATTATTTTATTTTAATGGCTAATTAACATTTTTTAAAAATCAAAATTAAATCCATAATGTATTGATAAGGCTGGTGAATGGAATCAAATTTATTTTCCAGGTGTCAAGCCTATTCATCCAACCAAGCCTCCAGTTACATTTAGTCCAGGTTCAAAAGCTCTTTTTCCTTCTTCTTATGTTGTTAAGAAGTTTATAATGTGCTGGGTGGAAAATGATGTCATATGTTAATTTGAATTTCTTTAATTATCAGATGAGATAAGCTTTTTGGCCTGCATATTTATTCATGTCCTTTGTTTACTTGCCTATTAGGTTTCTGAATTATTGTGTTGATTTATCAGAACTCATTATAAATTAAAACGTTAAAAGGGCTTTAATTAATAAAGGGTTTTTTTTTCTAGGTTGTTGGGGTTTTTTTGCCTTATTTTTACTAGTCAGTTTCTTTTTAAGATTTATATACTATTGGATACAGATTGCTGTATGTAACTTTTAATTACATAAGTAGTATACGAATATAAATTTCTAAAATTTCAAACATTAGAGAGTGAAGGATAGTCTTCTCTTTCTCTAGTCCATTGTATCTGTTTCTATACATCAGTATCCTATAAATGTAAATCTACAGATTATGGCAATTTTTTCTTTTATCCTAAACAAAAATGGCATAATGCTGTTCATATTTTTGTAAAACTCACTTTTTACACTTACCATCTTAGATTGGGGTTGTATTTAGATTTATTCTGATCCTTTTAATGATGACTTCAATGTATGCCCGGTTTTACTCTATCAATGGTCATTTATGTGTACAGAAGCTTTACATTAATAGGTAGTTACCTATATCGATCATTTCCTTAATGGCTATGGGTGCTGTGTCTTTCTTATAAAAGCTTTAGGTATTCCTCACTGTCAAATTATATAAACATTTCAACCATGTGTTTTGATTGCATTCTTTGCATTTAAATTGTTGGTATATCTGAAATACTTATAGTACATGGAATAAGATAGGGTTCCTTTCCACTCCATCCATCCCCATTTGTTGAATAAGTTGTCCTCTCTCCAACTGTTTTGAAATGCCAATTTTTATCATAAGTTTTACATTCCCACTGGCAGTACACAAAGGTTCCAATTTTTCCACTCTACCAACCTTGTTATTTTCTGTTTTTTGATACTAGCCATCCTAATGTGTATGAAGTAGTATCTCATTGTCATTTTTGTTAGCATTTCCTAATGATTAGTGATCATATTTTTATGTGCTTATTGATGTTCTGTATAGCATCTTTGGGGGAAATGTCTATTCAGTGCCTTTGCTAATTTTTTGATTTGGGTTTTGTTGCTCTTGTTGTAATTGAGGTTTAGGAGTTCATTATGTATTTTGGATATTAATCCCTTTTCAGTTATATAATTTACAGATGTTTCCTCCCATTCTTGGGTTGCTTTTTCACTCTATTGATAGTGTCTTTTGATAAACAAAAGTTTTTAATTTTGATGAAGTCCAGTATATCTGTTTTTTTTCTTTTGTTGCCTATGTTTTTGGTGTCACATTGCCAGATCCAACATCATGAAGCTTGTCCTCATGTTTTCTTCTAAGAGTTTTATAGTTTTACCTCTTATGCTTAACTCTTTCAACCATTTTGAATTAACTTTTGTATATGGCAAAAGGCCAAGAGACCAAATTTATTCTTTTGCATGTAGATAGCCAGTTTTGTAAGAACCACTTATTGAAAGGACTGTTTTTTTCCCATTAGACATTCTTAGCATCCTTGTGACATTTGACCATATATGTGAGGGTTTATTTCTGGGCTTCTATTCATTTGATCTCTATGTCTGTCTTTATGTCGGTGTTTTGATTATTGTAGCTTTTTAGTAAGTTTTAAATCAGGAAGCTTGAGTCCTCTCAACTGTGCTGTGGTTTTGTTTTGTTTTGTTTTTTCAGGATTGTCTTGGCTATTTCTAGATCCTTGGATGTCATGAATTATAAGTTGGATTTTTCTGGAAAATGCATATTCAAGATGGTGATAGGGGTTACATGTAACCTATAGATTACTTTTCATACTATTAACACAGCATATCTTTCTATCATTATTTATATCATCTTCTATTTCTTTCAACAATATTTTGTCGTTTCCAGTGTAGGAGTCTTTCACCTCCTTGGTTAAGTTTCCTCCTAAGTATTTTATTTTTGATGCTATTGTAAATGGAATTGTTTTCATAATTTCCTTTTTGGAGTGTTCATTCTTAGTGTATAGAAATGCAACTGATTTGGGGGTGTAGATTAGATAGCCTGCAACTTTGCTGAATGTATTTCTTAGTCCTAACAGTTTTGTGTGTGTGTGTGTGTGTGTGTGTGTGTGTGTAATCTTTAGAGTTTTCTATGTAAAAGATCATGTCACCTGCAACGGAGATCATTTTAGTTCTTCCTTCCCGATTTGGATGCTAATTATTTCTTTTTATTGCTCCAACTAAAACTTCCAATATGATGTCCAATAGAAGTAGGAAATGTAGGCATCCTATCTTGTTCCTGATCTTAAGGGAAAAACTGGGTCATTTGCCATTGAGTATGATATTAGCTATGGGTTTTTCATAAATGACCTTTATTATGTAGAAGTTTCCTTCTACTTTATTATGTAGAAGTCAACTTCTAAATCTTTTTTTTTTTTTTAAGCTGGCCATTGGTTTTCTTTTCTTTTTTTAATATATCTTTATTGATTTCAGAGAGACGAAAGGAGAGGGAGAAAGAGAGAGAGACAGAAACAGCAATAATGAGAGAGTCATTGGGGATCAAGTCTGCAACCTGGGCATGTGCCCTGACCAGGAATCGAACCTCAATCTCCTGGATCCTAGGTCGATGCTCAACCGCTGAGCCACACTCAGCCAGGCCTAAATCTTTTTTAAGCCTTCCTATGTCTTTTATTTTTTTATTTATATTATTATTATTTTTAAATATGTCTTTATTGATTTCAGAGAGAGGAAAGGAGAGGTAGAGAGAGAGAGATAGAAACATCAGTGATGAGAGAGTCATTGATCGGCTGCCTCCTGCACGCCCCCGACTGGGGATCGAGCCCGCAACCCCGGCATGTGCCCTGACCGGGAATCGAACCCCGATCGCCTGGATCCTAGGTCGACGCTCAACCGCTGAGCCACGCCCGGCCGGGCCTTCCTATGTCTTTTAATTTTATGTAGAATCACATCAATCCATAGGCTAATTTTGACATTAGTCTAATGATAAATTTGATTGCTGTACCACAGAATATTGTCATAGGAAATGTTACTGAACAGGAAGAATTCTGATGAGATTGAATATAAATTTATAGTATTTTTTGATAATACTTTTAAATAGAAACATTAATATAACTTATATAAGGAAAATAAAATTATAAGAATTTTCATTCAAAGGTAAAAATTCTAAACCTGTAATTTAGAGGTCTTTAATCTTTATTATTGTCTTCTTTTTTTTTTAACTTATTTACATTTTTGTTTCTTTTTTCCAGGAGGTCCCCCTCCCAGTGATGAGACACCATCTGGAAAACTAGGTATTTTGTTAGTAATGCTCTTGCATTATGAGACCTTAAAGTCCTACATGGAAATATAACATTTCAATTACCTGTAGTTTCTGAAGGTACAGTCTGTCACAAATGTGTGAGAATTAACATTTGTTAATTTTAACAGTGCAGATACCATGACAAATGTAAGCAGTAGTATGTGTAGACACATGTAGATAATAGTTTTTAAGAGGTGCCCCAAATTAGGATTCCTTGTAAGGTGAGGTAACTATCTCAAATGCCGTGTTTATTTATAGGTTAAAATTCATAGAATATAACTTGCTTTCCACGTGATAGTGTCATTTTGCAATGGCAGTTGGTAGGAAAGTTTTCTTTCTATCCATACCTTATATACACAAGCCTTAAAGTACTATAAGTTGGGTGAAATTTTTTTTTTTTCCAGAACAGGTTGGTGTATCACACTTTATGTAGGTTCACATAGTTTACACAACTATGTTCAAGAAAATGATAAAGTATAGTTGTGTCATTTAAATGAAATATAAAGAGTTCTTGGTGAATGAATGAAATGTGTATTACTTTTCTTTGCATTAGACTAGTTCAGTAAGGTTATTCTTTTCATGAAATGCACCTTAGGCCTGTTATGGTTTTCCTCTTAACACTGTGGTCAAACTGTCACTGTGCCAGTAAATCCAAAGCCATCTTAATTCATTAAACACTTGACCATTTTTTATGAAGTGAAAAGAGCAGAGGTAAACATGACATTGTATACTTTGACTCATAGAAATGTAATTAAGATTTAATTAAATTAAGGTTTTGTAGTATTATTTATTGCTTTCTGGATAGTCAAAAGTGCATGTTTAAGTTTCTAAGCATAATTTTATCCATGTGCCCTGGTGTTTATTTTGCATTTTTAGAGTCTGCTTGGTGTGTCTTAATTTGGGGGTGGGCGTGCGTGAGGGAGGATTGATGGTAAGGTATTGTTTGTGAAGATTCTGCATATTACATTTGTGTAATAGATTAATAGATCTTCGTTAATAAATTCCACAGACCCACCACTGTTGGTGAAAAAATATAAATTAATTTTGTAATGAAGTCATAAGAAATCACAGACTGAATACTGAACTAAATCAACTATAATACATGTTTAAAATGATTTTCCACTAATCTAGTGAATTCTAATTGTTTTAATAATAATGTTTACTAATAACCTAGTGTGGTGCCTACAGCACAAAACAATGTTAGACCCTAAGTCTGGAATCAGATTAGAAGGGTTCTGTGATCAAAATGCGCTGGGCACACTAGCAGTCACACTAAACTGGACTGATAAACTTTTCCTTTGCTGTAGTTTATAGATGATCTAATTGACTAAAATGTAATTGCCACCTGGAGACCCACATGGGCTCAGTTATCTTCAAACTGGTTATCTTTTTTCTCAGGTCCTGGACCCATTGCCGCAATTAGTATTGTTGTTGTAGGTAAGTGCCCCAACGTGGATACCGCTTACATCAAAATACTAATGTAAGAAAGAGCATTATTTGTTAAATGGTTTTTCAGTTTCTACAGTTTTTCAAATTGAAATTAAGTAAGCCAGGCTAGAAACACCTCACCTTTTATATGATATATACCACCTTGTGTTGGTGACTATATATTCATTTATATTCTATATATCCACTTAGTAACAAATCCTAAATAATACATATTTTTTCCAAAATGATAAGTCATATGAGTTTGCATCCCAAATCTGCTTTGGGTATTTTTCTAAATTGGGAAAGGACCCTTCTCTGACTTACTGTGAACTGTTTAAGTGATTCCATGGAATTGCATTTAGACAGTGAAGAGTCCAGATGGAATATGAATGCAGAACTTAAACGCCAAATCACACAGAAATTTTTCTTACAGACATAATAGCTGAAGCAACTCTACACAGATTTCTCTAGTTACAGTGACAGTAAAAGTAGCGATTCTGATGGCACAAGTCATGTAAGGTACATGTAATATAGGCACATGAAATGAAACTGAAAACTAATCTCCAAGATTCAAAATCTAGCAGAAGAAATTCATGTTGGTTACATTTCAGTGGGCAAAAAATGGCAGAAAATGTTCATGTGCTTAGATAAAACAGCATTTTCTGGCCACTGAAATGTAACCAACATGAATTTCTCCTGCTGGCTTTTGAGTCTTGGAGATTAGTGTTTAGTTATATTTCACTTGTTTTTTGCTTTTTGTAGGTGTTTTGGTGGCAGTTTTGGTCGGTGCCCTGTTCTATCACAAGAAGAAGAAGAAAGGGTAAATTGCAGCATATTTCTTAACCATATTGGTGTCTCTCACTCTTGACGTACTGTTGTGCAGCTTTTGTTTACACTCTATTGCATGCATTTTTTCCAATGTGCCTACGTGTTCTGTGCCATCAGAATTGCATTTCTTTACTAGAAATATTTGCAGCTACTTTTGCTATTATTGTAACAAGAGAAATCTTTGTAGAGTTGCTTCAGCTATTATGTCTGTAAGAAAAATTTCTGTGTGATTTGGAGTTTAAGTTCTGCAACAAATCATGGACCATGATGGGGCCCTCCCTACCCTAGGTACACCCTACATTCTAAATTGGGCTGGTGGCCAGGATTAAATTTCAAATTGTTCACTGTGGAAATCTTGACAGGTATATTCACTGGAATTTTTTGATGAAAATTTTCCATTTGTTTTTATTACTTAAGTAGTTGTAAGAAGCTTTGTAGATGTCTTCAGTCAAATACTCAATTTGATTTTTTTCATTAGAGTTTTTATTTATACAACTGGGGAATTAAAAGCAACACTATTTGATTTCCCTCTTATGTTCTCTTAATTTACTAGGTTACAGGAAAACTGATGGGGTTAAACTTGCTGAGAGGGGTAAGATTTATAAGGCACCTCATTAACTTTATCTGTCCTTTTATTTATAAAAATGAAAAAAGATGGGAAACTTGGAAAAATAAAAAATGTGCAAATTCTTCTAAGGTATTAGGATTTTTAAACATCAAACTTAAATTCTAATGAAATAGCTTATAATTTAATGAAAGACTTAGAATAAATCCTGGGGCATAGACCAAGATTAGGTGCTTTGAAATTTCTGATTTTTAGTTATTTGTTCTTCCTGATTACTTTGGAAATGGCTTTGAAATCAAACAATAATTTTTTTAATTCTTACCTGAGGATATTTTTTCCATTGCTTTCTCAGAGAGAGAGAAAGGGAGGGGGAGAGAGGAAAAAAACATACCAACGTGAGAGAGACACATGGATTAGTTGCCTCCTGCTCATGTCCTGATTGGGGCCGAGCCTGCAACCGAGGTACATGCCCTTGGTCAGAATCGAACCAGGAAACCTTCAGTCTGCGGGCCAAAACTGACCACTGAGCCAAACTGGCCAGGGCTGTTTACTGATTTTTAGAGAGAGAGAAGCATCCATGTGAGAGAGAAACATCCATCTAGGAATCAAACCAGCAACCTTTTGGTGTACAGAATGACGCTCCAACCAACTGAGCCACCTGGCCAGGGTTCAAACCAATAATTTTAAGACTTTTGATATTCATAGTTTTATGATATATTTTTCTTTTATATTAATCATTGGGTTTGGACCATGTGATAAAAGTACATTGTACACTCATAAAGAGCTCCACCTTCTTTTATATTATTGTTTTAAAAATACCCACAATGCCTTAATTTGAATCCTAAATCTTATATTTGTAGAACACATGCTATGCAGATGCAGCAATATGTTTTTAATTACACAGACACAGCAGTCTGAGTAGGAAATGCTCTCAGTGGAATCCTATTACAGTTCCAAAAGATTCACGTAGAAATAACTTCTAAAGAAAGCAAAACAATACAGCTTGGTATCTTTCTTCTTTGTTTAAAACATCGCTGCATCAAAATACTTAAAGGTTCTTAAACGACTTTGAATCAAACACTCTTGCTGTCACTTAGTGGGTCTTTTAAAGCTGAAGAAGTATCTGAGCGTGGTAGCTCCGGATTACAGGTTCGGTCCCATAACTGATCTGAGATTCCATTTCTTCTGAGCTCCAAGCGATGATGCTGCTGGGCCTGGACTACAGTTTGAGTAACAAGGGTGAAGACTATTATCGATGTGCCAATATATTTTAAATTTGAGGAAATACAATGAAGTTTATAGGCAAATTTTTGTCCTGCTAAAGATAATTAGCTTTTTAAAGACTCCCAAAGACTTCTAAAAAGTATGTGGGATAATACTTAGTTTTACCTTGCTTTGCTTTTTAAAAATGAAAGATTTATGTTCTGTTCTTTGCACTGTTTAATGTTCACAGTCTTCACGCCCCGCCTTCCCACATACTGGCTGTGGTTTGCCTTAGAAACTCCTTTTCAAAACTGTAAAATGCATGCAGTTTCTCCTCTGTTTGTAGGGGTAACTCTGGAAGCAGGACACTATGCACAGACAATCCCAAACTGCTGTTAAAACTTAGCACAAAATGGATTTGATGTAACCTTGTATTTATGGTGATTTGGGAACACGACTGCCCTTCTACAGACTTCATGCCGAAGTACAAAGTAGCGAGGAGGTCCGGGATGCCTCGGCATAGGCGGACGCTAAACTCCCCTCTTCCCACAAGCACATCAAAATACGTACCTATATAAAGAGCAGTAACTCCTGATAGGCAACTGAGGGCTGATTGAACAGTTTCTGCAAAACAAACAGAAGTAGGAGACCAAATAGGGAGATGGGAAACAGCAGGGATGAACAAGGTGTCCCTGACCAGAGCTCTTCCAGCCTGGCAGTCTAGAGCCCCAGGTGCCTGCCTGGCTCCAACTAGCCTGCCAAAACTACCCAGCACTCACAAGCTACACAGAGGTCACTTCTACAGAAGACCACTTTTTATACAAAAAAGGAGAGCGAGACCTGGTAGAGAAGAAGAGCTGCAAGAGCAATATGGAATTCCCTGAGATTGGAGCTGCCAGTGAGCACCGCTGTACAAGTCCCTCTGCACCTTGAGAGGGTGGGCAGGAGCTCAATCTAGGTGCTCTCGCCTACCTGCAGGTTTGCTACAGCTCATTTTCAGAATTACTATCTGAGCCAATTTAAGCCCCAAAGGGAGGAAACAGGATCAATAGGGCACACGGCTGGTCTCCCCACCTGGAGCCTCTTGGGCTCAGTAGGCACATGCCTCAGACACTGTAGGCATCTGCATGGCTCTAAGCACCTCTCCAAAAACCACCTGGCACACACAGCCTACACAGAGGCCACTTCTACACAAGGCCACTTTGCAAAGACTGGGAGAGATGGCTATTTTGTCTAACCCATATTAACGAACATAGGAAGTGACACAATGAAAACAAAAGAATATCTCTCAAATGAAGAGACAAAAAAGTCTCAAAAGAAACCCTAATGAAGTGGAGATAAGTAATCTGCCTGATAGAAAATTTAAGGAAATAGTCATAAGGACGCTGGTCAAACTTGAGAATGGGATAGAGGAACTTAGGGGGAACTTCAGCAAAGAGAAAGTATAATAAAGAACCAAGCAGAGCTGAAGAATACAGTAACTGAAATGAAAAATAACCAGCAGATTAGCTAATAAAGAAAAATGAATCAGTGACCTGTAAGACTAGTGGAAATCAATAAGAACAGCAAAAAGAAGAGATTTTTAAAGATGAGGATAGTTAAAGGGACATCAAATGCACTAACATTTGCATTATAAGGATCTCAGAGAAAAAAGAAGAATGGTACAGAAACTTTACTTGAACAAATAGTAGCCGAAAACGTTCTTAAGTTTTCAGGGGAAAAAGGAAACAGACATCCAGGTCCAGTTTGCAAAGAGAGTTCCAAACTGGTGACTCCAAGAGACCCGCACCAAGACATATTGTAATTAAAATGGCAAATGTTAAAAATAAACAGTTTTGAAGGAAGCAGAGGAAAACAACTAGCTTTACACAATAGAAACCCCAGAAAGTATAAGCTGATTTTTAAAAATTTTTAAATATGATTTTATTGATTTCAGAGAGAGGCAGGGAGAGAGAGAGAAACATCAATGATGAGAGTAATTGATTATAAGCTGATTTCTCACCAGCAACTTTACCAGCCAGAAGCTTGTGCTGTAAGAAAGGAACCTACAGTCTAGAATAATTTACCTGGCAAGATTATCATTCATAGTTGAAGGAGAGATTAAGAATTTCCTGGGGAAGCAACAACTAGAGGAGTTCATCTCCATTAAACCAGCTTTATCAGAAATGTGAAAGAGTTTTCTGTAAGCAGAAAAGGGAAGGCCATAACCAGAATAAGAAAATACGGTAAAGGAAAATCACTCACAGATAAAGCCATTACTTAATAAATGCAGCAGATCAGACATTTAAAAAGCTACGACAAAGGTCAAAAGACAAAAGTATCAAACTCAACTCAAATTTCAATAATTGGGAGATAAGCAAAAGAAAAAGATCTAAAATATGACATCAAAGATATAAAGCTCTGAAGGGGATATTAAAAATACAGTCCTTTAATGATATAGTCGATCTTAAATGCCTTTCGGCTTAAAATAGACTGCTAAAGGTAAAGAATGATATATATAAATCTCATGGTAACCACAAGCCAAAAACCTACAAAAGATACACAAAGACTAAAGGGAAAAGAACCCAAGCAAAACACTAAAGAAAACTGTCAACGCACAAGGGAAGACAGCAAAAGTAGAAAGGAAGAGAGAGGAACTGCAAAAACAGCTAAAAAAAATCAAAATGGATTAAAGACTTAAATGTAAGATCTGATCCCATAAAACTCCTAGAAGAAAACATAAGTAGGAAGCTCTTTGACGTCAGCCTTAGCAATATCTGTTTGGATAGGTCTCGGGAAAGGGAAACAAAAGCTAAAATAAACAAATGGGACTACATCAAACTAAAAAGTTTTTGCACAGTAAGGAAATCATCAGGAAAACAGCCTACTGAATGGGAAAGGAGATTTGCTAATGACATCCAAAATACATAAGGAACTCATGTAACTTAACACCAAAAGCCCCAAACTCTCCCATTTAAAAATGGGCAGGGGGCTTGAATAGACATCTTTCCAAAGAGGACATACAGATGGCTGACAGACATGTGAAAAGGTGCTCAACATCACAGGTCATCAGGGAAATGCCAATTAGGACCACGATGAGACGTCACCTCACCTGTCAGAATGGCTGTTAAACGAGTGCTGCTGAGGACGCTGATGCCGGCTCTGCCGGTGGAGTCGTCAGCTGGCCCAGCCACCACGGAAAGCAGTGTGGACACTGCTCGAGAATTTAAAAATATGATCCAGCAACTCCACTTCTGGGTATTTGTCCAGAGAAAACGAAATTGCTAATTTGAAAAGATATATGCAACCTTATTATATTCATTGCAGAATTATTTATAACAGCCAAGATATGGAAGCAACCTAGGTGTCCATTGATAGATGAGTGAATAAAGAAAATGTGGTACATATATACAGTGAACTATTACTCAGCAATAAGAAAAAACAGAAAGAATGAAATCTTGCCATTTGCAACAATGTGGGTGGGCCTAGAGGGTGTTATGCTAAGTGACATATGTCAGACAAAGTCAAAATACCCTGCGATTTCATTTATGTGTGGAATCTAAAAACAGATGAAAGCAGAAAACAGACACACATCCATAGACACAGGGAATAAGCTAAGGGTTGCCAGGGGGAGGGGTTTGGGGTAATAGTGAATTGAAATCGAAATGGAGAAATGAAATGAAACGTAACGATGAAAAGAATGAGACGTAGCGTAGCAAAACAAACGGAAAGGCTGTCCGCATACATGTAAGTTTGATTATACCTCGGACTCCCCGGGGAAATGACTGCTGGAATGTGCTAGGCAGCGTGTGGTAGAGGGCACATGGAGGCAGGAGACACTGGAGGCCCTCATGTCATTCCCTACAGAGCACGTGACGGGGAGTCTGTGTGGGAGAATGTCGCCAAAAATTATTACATATAAGGAGACTGCTGTCAAAATAAAACTGTCCCTCAGCCATTGGCTAAAGAAAGAAAGCGGACAAACACCACCACCAAAGTACAAAATAGTATAAGTAGTCATTTTTAACATCATTAAACATCATTTAAATTATGATGAAAATGGCCACAAATTAAAGTATTCTGGTACATTTTTCTGTTTCTTAGCTCTCAGCTAAGAATACTGACAGAATAGATCCCAGACCGGGCTGAGAGGGGCCCCATCCACATGCTCCTTCCTGTGCCCTCCCAGTTTCCTTTCTTAGCTAATTCTTCACATTTTCTCGTCTTGGAGCCCACAGCCCTTGCCCTGTCCTTCGCTGCTGCTGCAGTCCCGTTTTGCATGTCCTAAGTGTGTGCTTCCAGAAACCACATGCCTTTTTTCTTCATTGTTTTCACTTATTTGTCGTGAGTACTTTTTTCACAGATGCATTTTTTTTATTCCAGTGATACCATTCCAGGATAAGTGGGAATTTTCCAAGTTCATTAGAATTCTCTACGTAACTTATGTATTTTAATAATGTGACTAAATCGTTTTCTGGATTTTTTTATTAAGGATATTTATTATTTATCACATAAACCTGTTTTGAACTTTAGGTTAGTTATGACTGATGCAGTAACTTTGTAATTTTAAGTCACCTACTTAAAGGATTAAGTCACAAAGTCTCTTGGATTTACTGTCTGTAGTGGCCAGGTCAGGTGGTTGGCAGTATAGTGACATGGGACGGAAAAACAGCAGGATCAAATAAACTTGAACATTTTTCTAGTTGGTTCTCAAATTCTGGAGCATTCAACAAACTCTGCAAATGTTTTAAACAGAAATCTACTAAGAAACAAAGATTTTGTAGTTAGTGGAGAGAGCACACCTGACGAGATTTAGACCCATCCCAGGAAAACGGGAGGTCTTATAACCAGTTTTACAGAGATCTTCCCTCAGTGCAGACGTCAGGATGCATCTGCAAACGTGCGACTTGTCATACAGCGGATTTCTAAGGCAGCATTACATGCATTAAATATACACGCTCTGTGTCTCCCCTCAGTCTTAGGTGCTGGAGACCAGGGCCATTTCTCCCCCCGATCTGTTATTCTGTGAAAGACTTTGCATGATTGACTTGAGGCTAAATGTTTCCGAGATGAACAGATTGCACAGGAATTCAGAATCCACTCATCTACCTGCTGGATGATCTATAAGATTCGAACTTAAAGTCGCCTCTTGCACAACATTCCTCTTTCCAGTTCCTAGAATCAGAAAAGTCATAATGTCTGAGCCCAGCTGACAGCTTTCCTCCCATCCTGCCCTGTCATTGATTTCATCCCAGGGATTACGCCACACACACTTCCTTTTGGTTTGTTGTCACTATTTTATTCAGCCCCTTTCCCTTCCTCTGTTCAGCACCTACCTAACTGGTGAGAACCACAAAGAAGTAAAGTTCCTTTCTCTATGAGAAGAAGAGATGAGAGAAAGGTTTGCTTTTATCACTAAAAGGTATCTGCTTCCTGATTTCTCTTCAGCTGTCTTTTCTTTTAAAAATGTTCAGTGAATATGTAGATGTTAGTAACCTCAGCTAAGATATGACAGCAAACATCAAAGAGGACACTTAGATCCCAGTTTCCTTGGCTAAGTTACCGAATTTTATACCATTCCAGTTTCAACGTAAACTAATGTGGACTGACGGGCTTTGGCTTCAGGGCGGCTCAGCAGAGTAATGTTCCCTTGCCCTCTACCTTCTAGCGGCTGTAATTCTAAAAGTGCAGGGATTTTTTAGCCTGGTGGCAAATAACCATAGAATCTGTTCACGTTAAGCACAGGGAGGAAAAAAGTTCTTTTACAGAATCCAAAATACATTTCACTTAATCTTGTAAATTTGTTTATTTTCAACTTATAAATATTAACCCTGTAAAGGCATTTATTCTTTGTCTTGGCCAGAATATATTTTATCATATAAAGAAAAACCAGCAAAAGCTTCTTAGATTTTGAAAACTTCGAATTGCATTGCCTTAAGCCCTTTGACCCCCTCCACTTCTGTCCGAATGAAATGAACTGGAAGTGTCCCAGAATGTGCATGGCGGGGAAGAGGGAGATATGTGTCCCAGCCCCTGTCATGTGAGGCACAACCCTAGGTTACAGTCAAGAGCTTGGGAGCAGACTCCACAGAGCCCAGTGGGAAGGGCAATTTGGTAAAAACGTGGTGGCCTTGATCCCGGGGCAAAGGGGAAGACATGACATCCCAACTAGAACGGCAGCTTGGGCCTCCCAGCCCCCTCTCCTTGGTCTCAGGATTCCTCTGAGGCTACAGCCAGCTGGGAAAGTAGTTTTCGGACTGTCGTGAGCTTCACGGTGTCTCTAAACAGTTGAAATTAATTTAATGAATGCTGAAGCTAATGCAAAATAACTGATTAGTAATTGGGTTTCAGAATTTTATCATCAAATAGCTTCGTTGTTATATGAAGGAAATGTTTTTGGCTTTTTGTTTGTTTTTAAAAATATGTCCACATTGATTTCGGAGAGGAAATGAGGAGGAGAGCGAGGTAGAAACATCAATGCTGCCTCCTGCACGCCCCACACTAGGAATCGAACCCTCAACCTGGGCCCGTGCCCTGACAGGGAATCGAACTGAGATCTCCTGGATCCTAGGTCCATGCTCAACCAGAGCCACACTGGCCAGGCTGAAGTAAATATTTTTAGAAATTTGTTGACCCTTTTTATCTTTTTCAAATACTGGAATTATGCTTCAAATTCTATTTGAAGAATTTTACAGAAATTCATTACAGAAAAAAAATGAATGGACTCTGAAGCACAGAAAACTAAAGCTGTGTTGGGAAATTCTAGCGACAGGCCTAAGCATTGCCTCACTACCCACAATAGTCCGCAGGAAGTTGCTCTGTCATGTCCGGTAACAGTGGTGGCTCGCGGTGGTGGGCTCCCACCAAGAGAACTACTCAAGTTGCAGATCTAACCTGTAGCTCTGGCACTCACTGGGTAGGAGCCCCTGAAGGGATGGCAGTGCCGAGCATTCTGGAAAGCCGGCTGGGCAAGTTCCGCTTTAGTCCGTATGCTGTGGTCAGTTCACTGAGGCTGCAGTTTTCAATTCAAAAGTCAATGGCCATGTGTGGCTACCAAGGACTCAACTGTAGCTAGTCCAGTGCAAGATGTGCTTGAAGTGTAAATACTCACCAGATTTCATAGTCCAAAAAATGCAAAATCATGGCAAATGTTAATATTTTCCCTGCATTGGGTCAAGTAAAATATATTAAAATTAATACTGCCTATTTATTTTACTTTTTTAATGTGGCTTCTAGAAAATTTATAATTACCCAAATGACTCACAAATTTTTGGACAGTGCTGGACTAGAATAAGAGATTTTACAAAGATACTTACTGCTACAATAATAGTTTGATATGAACTTTAATTATGTAAGAGCATCCCTTACTTGAACTGATGATTTCATTGACAGTATGTGTAAAGGCTTTATTTAAACACAAACACTGTTGGAATCATCACCTTTTTAAGTTTCATCTCAGAGGTAGATTTGAAACTGTGGTATTAGGAGAACACATTTCTCTCCGATCTTTCCCATTGTCCCTAAAGATAAATCATGAAATATTTACCAAGTACTTTATATGCAGCGGCTCTATTTCTTGTTTACATGGAATAAATAATACAGCACAGGGATAGAAGAAGGGTTTCTAAAGTGAGGAGAGTTGAACATTTGAAATTATTTGAACAGAATTATCTAGTTCTTAGATCAGGGACTCTTAATACAGTTTAATTGTCCATTTTCTAAGTAAACTTCTGAATTTCACTTCTCTGCACTTTTATGTTTTTTTCTGATGCTGTCTCTTTATCTCCCTTTAGGAAATCGGAGCTTCCTGCTCAGTACAGCCCAGGCTGGAGTAAATCAAGCACTCCGGCAGAGCCAGCACTCTGAGTGGCTTTCAAAAGCTGCTGCCGCACCTTTTTTTTTAATTTTGTTAAAATGTCAAGATCTACATTAAATTTGTATGGCTACTCTGCAAAACAGGATGGAGGCCCTGAAAAATTAAAAATAGAGCCCCCCCTGTGATCCAGCAGTTCCACTTAGGGGCTACATAAGTGAAATTGCTATGTGGAAGAGATATCTCCCCCTCCCTGTTTATTGCAGCCCCATTTACAGGAACCAGGACATTGGAACAACCCTGTGGTCATCGGTGGATCAGTGGCGAAGGAAAGTGTATACATGTACAGTGAAATATTAGTCATGAAATGTCAAGAAAATCCTGACCTTTGCAAAACATGAATTGACTCAGAGCATTTTGATACTAAGTTATATATAGACACTTATATGTAGGCTCTATAAAAAATGTAAAAAAAGATTTGTGGGTGTTAGAGGCGGGTGGTGGGGTGAGGGAATTGGATGAAGGTGGTCAAAAGCTACAAACTTAACAGTTAAAAGCATGTATTGGGATGTATTGCACAGCACCGTGATTATAACTAGTAAAACTATTGCATGTTGGCAAGTTTCTAAAAGAATCGATCTTAAAATATCTAATCAGAAGAAAAAATAATGTAGCTGTGTGACTTGAAGGATGTTAACTAAAATTATTATGCTCATCATTCCAAACTATACACAGCAAATCACTATGTTGAGCACCATAAACTCAGTGTTGCATGTCATAGCTCAGTGAAACGAAAGGGGCAAGAAGATCTATACAGGTGTTCTGTTTCTTTCACTGTCATGAATGCAACTGCTAAGACGTAATGCTAACATCGCAGTGTCACATGAATGCGGTCATTATCCTGTGATCCCTCTTTGAAATGGATACAAATCTGGGCATGAGCACCTTCCTGTTTTCCCTTAAAGAGCAAGTCAACACAGTGTCCTTTTTCTTTTTTTTTTTTTTAATCTTTATTGATTTCAGAGAGGAAGGGAGAGGGAGAGAGAGAGAGAAACATCAATAATGAGAGAGTCATTGATCAACAGCCTCCTGCATGCCCCCTGCTGGGGGCCGAGCCCGCAACCCGGGCATGTGCCCTGACTGGGAATCGAACTCCCCAGGTCGATGCCCAACTGCTGAACCACGCCCGGCCAGGCAACACAGTGTCCTTTTTAAAAGTTTCTTCTCAGAGGGAGATTTAAAACTGCGATATTAGGAGAACACGTTTCTCTCCAGTCTTTCCCATTGTCCCTAAAGATAAATCATGAAATATTTACCAAGTACTTTATATGCAGTGGCTCTATTTCTTGTTTGCATGGAATAAATAATACAACACAGGGATAGAAGGTGGGGAAATGATGACTTCCATAAAATCTAAAAATTTGGAGAAATACAGTTCAAAATGAGACATTTCATTTGTAAAAAATGGGATTTTGAAATCTTTTTTTCCAAAGCTAATACCAACTCTTAAGATTTCATGCTTTCAACAACTCTACTATGTGTATTATAGTTTATTGTAAAAAGTCAGTACAAATATGTGTATACTACAGTCTTTAAAAATTAAAAACAAGATTGCTGAAACCTGGGAGTTTGAGCAAGTTTGAATTCCTTAACCAAAAATATTGGGGCGGGCCTGTGTGGCCCAGCGGTTGAGCATGGACCAGCATCTAGGCAATCGGGGTTCGATTCCCGGTCAGGGCACATGCCCGGGTTGCAGGCTCGATCCTCAGTAGGGGTTGAGCAGGAGGCAGCTGATAAATGACTCTCTCATCATTGATGTTTCTCTCTCCCTTGCTCTCTCTGAAATCAATACAGATTTATTAAATATGTATATATTATTGGAAAATACTCTTACAGTAAATAGGGTAAAATTCCATTTTAAAAAATTACTTGTAACTTCTTGGTGATTTAGAGAAGCCGTCAAGTTAGTGTCTAAGAGTCCATGGCAATTTGGAGTGGGTTGCATACTTCTGTAAAAGGTTAGAAGGCGCTAACACGCCTAACAGCGCCGGCTCGGTGCAGAGTGAACACTGTGGCTTGTAGTTTTCTTCGGGAGAATTCCCCTCTCTGGGAGACAGAATCCACTGTGAACTCTGGCCTGGGGGGTTCCCTCCCTGCTGGAACAGAAAGCTCTCACTCAAACAAGTCACCTGACGGTAGGCGGTTCTGTAGGGAGTCAATTCATCAGGTAGCCCCAAGTGGTATCAGAATTAGTCTGCGGGGGTCTCCCCTCACCTGCTAAAAGGCAGGGTAACCGTTAAGCCGCGTATTTCAGAAAAGGCAGCTTAACTTTGTGTGGGTGGGTGGCCCCGTGAAGGGAGGAAAAATCAGCTCAGGGAGCATTGCATGCTCAGGTGGAGCAGGTCCCTCCCGCTCGGAGTCCCTGCAGCTGGCAGGGCCTCTTCCAAATGAGCAAGCGGGCACAGGAGGGGCTGCCGCTCTCATTTATTCTTAAAGGTTTGGGGTTTTTACACTTTTATTTTTAGTAGCACAAACTGGGCTGAAGAAATGTTGCCCTGAGAAGGACGTTTGGAAGATCAGAGTGAACCAGAGTAAATACTGTTTTACTCTGGAAAGCGTTCCTTCCCTTTGCAATCTCTGGCGAGGGGCATTAGGAGGATGAGTTTGAATAAACTGGAATTCTGAGTTAAATATA